TGTTTAAACAATATTTTCCATAAGATTCATATCCTTTTAATTTTTATAAATCCTTCTGTAAGAAATTTCATGATTAAAGTATTCTTTTATTTCCTTCAATCACTTTCTAAATAGTTCTGAAGTACTTTTAATTTATTCTCCTTTCCTCAGAATATAGATTTCAATAACAAAATATATGAATCGGTGTCATTCACTATTTTTAATCAATTTGTTTATTTTCATTCATTATCCAAGTAATTCTTTTTTATCTTTTCTTTTGATTTTCGATTTGACAATAATTTGACTTACTTAGAGTTTTTTTTAATATAAAATAAATATTATTTTATTTACTTGCTAACTATTATATTTCTAAATTATTATAATGGATAAATAATTTTTTACTTTAAACTTATAAATTTCTTTAACTTTAATAAGATTATAATTACTATTCTTATCTCAATGATATTTGTTCAAAAGCTATTACATCAATAATGACTAATAGCTCTTTTTCATATTTTATCATTTTATTTCAAGTAATATGAAATTTTTAAAGAAACATCTTCTTGAATCCAAAGTTAAAGATAAAAGGTTGTTCCTTTTTCCAAATAAAAGTGGATTAAAATTGTAGACAAATTATACCTTAATCAAAATATTTGATCATAAATAATCTAAACTAAATAAAGATTATCAAATACATTTCTAATAAAAACTCACTCTGATATTTTATAGAATAATTAGTTATATTTCAAAAATAAGACACTAAAATATAATTAGATGAAACGACTAAAATTTCTGCTTTGACCTTTTTTCCATTTGAGATGATAGGTGTAATTGACTGATTTGTTAGAAACTTATAATTTCCTATAATAGTATAAATTTGATTTAGTGAATCTTATTGGTTGTTATTTAACTTAGAAATATAATATTGTTATATATTTAGAATTTTATGATAAAAAAGTAAAAATTGGGAATTCGAGATGAAATCATAATATTGAATAGTTTAAGGAGTAATCAATAAAAATTGATGTTTTTTAAAAAAAATACCAATTTATTATAAGTTGCAATTATCTCTCATAAAATATTATGCTCTAATATTTCATTATAATAAATTATTAATTTATATTAATAATTCATTCTAAAGTTTGTTAAAAAATATATGCATTAAAAGTGAATAAATAAATTATAAAAATCAACCAAAACATCTATTCATGACTTTTTTATTATATAAGAAGAAGATAGTGTTCAGAATTAAAATTTAAATTATGTAATCTTAATATCATATAGTTATCCATTGAATCACTTATTAACTTGTATTTAATTTTCATATTATCTTATGAATCTCTCAAATTCCTTTTCTAATGTTTCTCTAATTATTATTTATTTTTAAAATAATCAAATTTTCTTTTATTTTTGAATTTAAATCAAACATCTAATTAAAGCTGGAATAATTTTTTTGTTCATTTTATTAAAATTTAATGAGAAAGATCTCTCAACTTTAAATAAAATAAACAAAATAATAAATTACTATTTCTTATTTGTTTAAATTTAATATTTTATAAACCAATATATAATAAATTTCCATATTCATAATGGATCCATTTCTAAATTAGGGTTTATTAACTTATTCATACAAGAGAGCATAAGGATAAAGTACAAATGAATAATGATAGAAGTTATTTAAACTTCTTTTTTTTATCACTATATACGCTATTTGATAAAAAAAAATAGTTAACTATTTCTTTGAATATTGTAAATTATTGTAAATCTCTGTGATATGTAAATAAATGCATATTACCTATTTATTAATTTTCTAATATGAAAAAATTGATGACCATAAACTTTTCTAATTGAGATCGGATTAAATTCCTGTAAATTTATATAAATCAAATCTAATAATAATATATATTAAATTAAAAATGTATTTAAATTTAACTAGAAAATTCTATAAGATAGTATAAATGAGTTCTAGTAAGACTTATACCTAAATAATTTGAAAATGTATTAATTTTAAAAGATATCAGCTAAATGCGGTTCAAAATATTTATCAAAGTAAAGAAATTTATTTATATCCTTCTTGTTATGATGATCATTTATGAATGACAAATATATTTATTTAACCAATCATAGCATAAATTTAGTTAATAGATTTTTTGATCTTTCCATTTTTTCTCATTATACTCTCTGTTGAAGAGATCATCATTTAAATTCAGTCTCTTATTTGCTAACTCAGCTGTCTCATTTAGTTTAGGCTATTTTATTTTCTTAAGATCATTTCACAATTGAGACTGCTTATTTGATGATATTCACTCC